AGAGAGAGAGAGAGAGAAAGAGAGAGAGAAAGAAAGAGAGGTGGAGGGAGCGGGTGAACCCTGCATAACACAGAGAGAGAGACATGAAGCGATGGGAACAAGAAACAGTGAGATAGATAGATAGATAGATAGATAGATAGATCTGAAAGGAACCAGTGTGGACCTCATCAAAAGTCACTAAATACAGCTACACCAGTCAGGATAAGAACCTCCTACTCAAAGCTGCCAGATCCCTAAAAAAAATACAAGTTCAAGATGTGCTGAATCCGGTAAAACTCATTTAATGTGTGCATAGTCTAATAAAGGAACATGAATAAGTTGTTACTTAAGGAAATTTATTTTAGTATAAATTGTGCTTTTTTACCTACTAGTCTGTTACTCTGTTCTTATATTTAACAGACTGAATAGGTCCCGTGGAGTAAGTTGAGTGCCAGTCACAGAACCGGTTACCATTACCAAAGCTTTTTGATGATTTAAAGCATGTTATCATCCAATCATCATTAGTATTTAAATAGTCTAGTTGTAGTAAATTTATCTCTCAAGCGTATTCTGCATTGTCCTGCAAAATCACATCTACTGTCCTGCAACAGAGCATTAACCAAGTGTTCACCCTAACCTGTGGCAATGGGTCTCACTGAAACACCTGAATTGAATATTTAAGAGGTGTGTCCCAATACTTTTATCCATGTAGTGTGGACGGATGGACAGTCAGACAGACAGTCGGAGAGATGAACAGATCCATCTGCAGTAAGACACCTTAATAAAAAAAAAACACTGTAGATACACTACATGTTAATTAAAGAAAGATACAGGAATGGATCTTGCTGCTCTGAGCCCCTCCCTCACTGTCTGTCTCTCTCTCACTCTAGTGACAGTGCACATTCCTGGAGACACAAGCAGCAGCAGCAAGACTCCACACTCCATTCAGACTATCTGTCTTCACCTAAACCTACTGAGTTAACCCTAACTAAACAGATAAACGTACCCAGAGCATACTGCTGATCTGTCTCTATATATCACACACACATACACATACACACACACAAGTGGATTATGTCTCTAAATGGGGACATTCCATAGACTTCTATTGGTTTTATATACAGTTAGTTATAGAAACTACTGTATAACTTAACCCTAACCTAACTGAAAAGTGAATATATATATGCTGTTTACGTCCCCAAAAGGAGGTTTTGTCAGATATTAGGTCACTTGTGGATACAAATTTGTCCCTCAAAAATATATAAGTTGGGGCAGTCGTGGCCTAATGGTTAGAGCACACTTGCACACCATGTATCCTTACGGGACAGAAATGCTGCATGAGCCAATCCTTCACAATCAATTACAGGTCTGACGTCTTGTAAAAACAAGACTTATGCTGACTGTAGGCCAGCGATGTTAATGATGATCTTAAGTATTATTTCATAAGTTCGCACTTATATATTCAGAACGAGCAGATAGTGTGCATATTTGGTGGGCTGTCTGAGGGGAGGGCTCCAAGCTCGGAATTTATCCCAACCTCAGAGAGCTCCCCCGTATCCCAAGCTGGGATTGAAATAGTTAGAAGTAAGTAGTTAAGGTGGAGGAGGGATGTTAAAAACTGTCATGGGACAGAGGTAATTTGGCTGTATAGATATTTAATATTGTGTTAATTAAGTTGATTACCTGAACAAGATCCACCCATGCTAAATTGGTTGATTATCTGAAAGTGCTCCTCCTCAAATCATGTACACACTTCCATTCAAATGTATTTTTGAAGAAATTTATATTTTTATTTAGAAAGGATGCATAAAACTGATCAAAAGTGACATTTATGTTACAAAATATTTATATATGTGTGTGTGTTTGCACAGGCACTCTTCCAGTTACCAAAAGAAGATAAAGGGAAGTCCTCTTGCTGGAACCTTATACTGCACTTTCAGTGGTGTTGCACCAGCACATTTCCACGGTTAAGTGCACATGTCATGGATTCATCTGTACTCTGAAATATTTTTGCATCCAAAATGTCTGAGTTCAAGTCCGAGTCTATCCGAATCCGTCCAAATCCAAGTTCGATCATAATTGCAGTCCGAGTCTAAGGCCTGAGTCCAAGTATCCCAACTCTAGATAGCTACACCGGAGGGTGGGCTAGAGTTCTCAGAGCTTCCCCCTTCTTTCTTGCCCCTTCTGGGCTTCCGGGAACATCCGGCTTGAGTGGAAGCCTGCACCCTGTCTAGAGCATTTGCGGCTGGATGACTGGTTTCTAGACGTCGGACGCGACTCTCAGATGCATCCCGTGTCAGTGCCTTTTTTCCTGGAGGTGTGTGAGGAGATCACAAATTCATGGTAAGCACCTTTCACTGCCCAAAGCTGCTTCACGGCCTACTTCACCCTTACTACCCTCAATGGCACGCAAAATGCTGCCACCTGGAGGAATCGTCCACGTCTCCCATCCAATGCCTGCAGGCTGATGTCAGCTCTGGCTGATAAAGCTTACAGTGCCACTGGACAAGTCGCCTCTGCCTGAGATGCATGAGATGTCCTTTCTGCTGGTTCACCGGGCCAAAGCACTTAAAGAACTGCACAAAGGTAGTTCTGAGTCACGGTTGATGCAGGAACTGTGCACGGCAACTGATTTCACCCTCCGATGTTTGGCAAGCATTCTCGGCAGTTCAGAAGCAGACGGAGGACATCAAACACATCTTGCCCTGGCATGATACCACTTCCACCAAGCCGCCATTGTGCCACTCGTCTCCAAGGGTGTCCCCCTGCAGCATATACAAAAACACCACCTCAGCCACAGTGTCAAGCCTCCCGCATGAAAACGACACAGAAATGTCTCCCGCATGAAACGGCCAGGTAGAGAATCTTTTGTTTTCATTTGTTTCCATTCTGCCACAGGCTCATCAGCCTGCAGTACGTAGCAACGTTGCGCCTCCTCATTCCCAGCCTCATCTCCCCCTTTTGCCACAGACCAAGAGCTCACGCTCCAAGGATGCGTCGCTTCCTCACATGACTCTAGCCAGTCCCTCATGGGATTAATAGAGCCAGGTAAGTATCACTCTGCACTCACTGCCTCTACTTCGGGGTGCACTGCCTCCCGAGTTGGGCCAAAGTTGGGCCCTGCTCTCTGCCCCTCTGTGGGTACAGTGGTTGTCCCTTTGGTGCCGCTCACACAGAGCCTGGGAGCCTAGCTAGCGCTTCCCAGCCCATCTTGCTGGCACATAAAATCAGACTTGACTATTAGTTGTCAGTAGTAGACTATCAGACTTGACTATCACTATGCCAGGCATCCCCCCAGGTTCAGGGCCATTAATTTCACCTTGGTGGCAGACAAAGATGCCCCTGTCCTGTGAGTGGTGATTGCAATCCTGTTGGCATTAGACGTAATAGACACTGTCGCTCCAGCTGAGATGAAGCAGGGCTTTTACAACCCTTACTTCCACAAGATTCTTTACAACCGCCAAGATTGGTTTGCAACGATTGACCTTAAGGATGCATACTTCCATGTCTCGATTTTCCCTCGACACAGACCATTTCTTCGGTTTGCTTTCGAGGGTCGGGCATATCAGTATTGCTCCTCTCCTTCGGGCTGTTCCTGTCTCCACACGTCTTCATCAACATCATGGATGGTACCCTTGCCTCGCTAAGGGAAGTGGCATCTGTATCCTCAACTCCACAACTGTCTCATTCAAGCTCACTAGTGTGCTCTATTGTGCGAGCACAGGGGCTTGGTGTTCAGGCACCTCAGGCATTAGGGGCTTCTGCATCACCAGATAGTTTAGCGGTTGTGGTGCTTTCCATAGGAACCCCTAATATCAGTGACTGACAGAAAGGGAATGTCTTGGTTACTGTTGTAACCCTCGTTCTCTGATGAAGGGAACAGAAACATCATGTCCCTCCTGCCACAACCTTGAACTACCTGTTGAATGGCAAGGACACCATCTCGACGCCTCAGCACAAACCTGAATGAGTGCAGCATCTTATATACCCACATGTCTAGGGGAGTGGCTCGGCATGCAAATTCCACTCACCAATTCTCATTGGCCGTGTTTGTACTAGTCAGAGGAGATTGGGGCTCCCAATTGAGACGCATAATGTCATTTGACATAATGTCTCTGTTCCCTTCATCAGGGAACGAAGGTTACAACAGTAACCGAGATTTCTGAAGGATCATTTAACACTAAAGACTGTAG